CACAAAAGTAGCGAATTGTAATGTTCAGGAGAGCATTGTCAATGTGTCCAATAAATTTCGTCTTCATGTCATGTAAAGTGAAGAAACAGGAGTCTCCTGGATACTATAGTGTAGTATAATGCATAAACCCAAGGGAGCCACCTTAAGCTACAGTGGTGGTTTACCGTCGGTAAAAATGTTGTTATATATATATATATTCTGTACCTCTTGGATGCTCATGTACGCATCTCCCAACAACAGGCTTGTTTGAGGGCTTGGATATTTGTCATGTAATTCTCTAAAAAGATGGAAGAAAAGAAAATATATTTTAATTTCATATTAACCCTGTGTTGGGGTCAAGCTGAGTAGGAACATACAGTTCCTCATAAATGGATGGGCAATAAAATGGCAAATTTTGTAATATTTGTTGCAACACTAACCTATAGCAGCTTGCATACAGTCTTTTGTCTTTCCGATGATTAAGATATATATCTGCCATTTTCTCTCGGGCTTGAATAAAGTAACTGCAAAAAAGTTGATCAGTCTGGTTATTATGGCAGGAAAGTAATATCTATGGCAGTTACAAAATCGAAGAAAAGACAGGAATGACGTTGAAAAATCCACAGAAGAGGGTACAGTTTCCATAATATCAGAAATAAGTCAAGACAATAAATGACTGGATGATATATGAACAGTAGGCATAGGCATACGAGACAGGGGGAGCAATGGAACATCAAGAGAATTCTAGCATATGCTGGGGAAAATGAAGCAAATTCAGCACATTTATCACAAAATTTGTTAAATTCAGGTTGTTTTAGTACAATTCTTCATAGAAATGCAGGCAAACTTTCAAGTGATCAGCCATGTACACTTAGGGCAGTGGGATTTTCAATACAATGAAAAGACAATGGAACATTTTGATTACTGAATCCTTACCTAAATGTCACCAAGTGTTATGCAAAGTGTTATGTAATTGGCCATTTATACCTTTGTTCTGGAGTAACAGATCGGAGTATTGTTAGTGCTTCCTTATGATCACCTCGTTTCAGGAATAAGTCAGCATTTGCAATGCTTATTCTAAAGAAAAAAAATTATCTTATGGTATAACAGCAGATCACTTACCAATGGCAAGGTCCCCCCCCCCGGAGGCGCTGCAGCGGGCAAAGTCCTCTCCCACATGACGTTTTCAGCTATCCCCTAGATGTCATATTAGGGTGTTAAGTTTGCGGATTCCAGCGAAACAAGCCTGCCCCTGTCCCTACAAATAACTTTAGTGTAACCAACTCCCTGAACCCAGTACGATTCAATTTTATTTAATCCCATGTACCACCATGCACCATTGAGCGATACTTGCATGTCGTTGCCTTGCATTACTGTGTTTAGCAGCTCTTGAGGTACTGAGAAGTTATTGTCATATAATAAAATTATAAAATTATTGGAAACCGTTATTCTTGATACTCATCATCATAAAAACACTTTGATGTTCCAAGTGAAGGCTGCCGTTAGGAGGTTAATTTCGTTAGTCGAAGCTAGCCATCACTCGAAAGTGTGAAGGGTGACAAATACCGTATATAATATCAACAAAAACGGTTTCCTGTATTCACACCACGACCGAACTAAACACTCAAGTTTAAAGATTTTCACATTCTTAAAATTTATCACTCACCTTACTTCTTCCGAAGTCCCAGAAAATTCGTTCATAGCGTCCTGCATTATTTTGGCGGCCTCGTGCTATAATGTGCAGAAACAGCGAAGTGTTAGTAAATGATCTACATAAACAACGACAATATACTGTAGTTACATTGACATTCCTACAGGAATCTTTTGTCACGACTATAACGATTCCACTCACTCCATGATTTAATTGTGAATGTGCACCCGCCAATTCCAAGTATACCGACACTCGGTCGCTTAAAGTGAGACTGCTCGCTTTTTTGCCACCTTGGCCAGCCGGAACTGAAATAAAAATTATACCAGAATTGAAAAAAATCTGGTTAAACAGAAAAACTGATAATCTGGGCATACCAGGAAATATTGTTGTGGAAGATTTGCAATTCACGATACTTCCTTGTAACCTTGGTTTCCCCAAGGTAACATTTGAAAACATTGATGCGGCAATAAAAGCTTTCCAGAAAGCGCTGCCCGCGCCTCAACCCCTTAAAACAGCGGGCTACGCAGGCGAAAGGTCCATTTCCACTCAAGAAAAATTTCCACGGACAGAAAATTTTCCGAAAATATCATTGTTAAAAGTTGAAAATTTTCAACTTTTTTTTCCGACGGAAAATTTGAGTCGGCCACATTTTACAAAATTTTCTTTCTGCGGAAAATTTTCCTGCGTGGAAATTGACCTTAACGATGCCATGAGTAAATATCAAGATTTTGTTGGCATCTCACTCGATTGAATAATGGTGTGAGGGCCGCAGGCTTGATTCCTGCCAGGGAGCTGTAGGTGCATTTTTCGCAGCTGTTCCTGGTTAGGTCTAATAAATGTACAGTACATAAATTTATACACTTGATAATTTCCATCTACAAAATCCTTTAACGATGCCATGCAATGAATTACTCAGCGAAATGTCGATTTTGCTAGGAAAGTTCCGATCGTGGTTTCCCACAACATGACTATATGTAGATGCATGATATTATTAATCATCTTAAATTCAGTTACGAACAAGGAATGTGTTACGCCTTACTTGCTTTCTTAACACCGGGTAATGCCATTGCTGTATTCAGTGTCTTGATACATTCTTCATGGTTGCCCAAGTTTTTATGAACGCAAGCTTTGATCAAATGATACTGAGGAGAATCTCGAACCTTTAGGCAAAAGAAACATGAAGAATATAGCACAGTATATAATACGTGTGGAGCAAGGTTCAGATCATAATAGTGAGCTTAAGCAAGTGACGTTTTTGACAACACGGACGTCGACCGGAAGTAAAGTTGACGTTTTTCACCAATCACAGCCCTTGACCCAGTCTTCTGACGTTACTCATGCCGTTCGTGTTGTCAAAAACGTCACTTGCTTAAGCTCACTAATTCCTTTACACTTACCTAATTTGAGCACACACGATATCGGTAAACTACCATGACAATGTTAGTCTCTAACTCACTGGAAGGCAATATTCATGGCTACTGTCCGCTAAGGACAGGTCATAGTCAGCAAGGGACACTACACCTCCTTCCCATGGATGTATTTCAAACAGACCATGCATGAAATTTTTGGTTGTATATATTAATATAATTTGAGCGTAACGTTTAACATTTTGCATGTCGGGAAGGTACTATCAAAATCTGATGACATTTTAAAATTTTCGTTTTCTGCCACTGATAAATTTTAGTACCTTGTGTCCCTGTTTGCTTGAGCTCTTTTATATTGTGGCTAGCCTCAAACATATACAGTACGTACAATAAATGTTGATATAAATAAGCATCACGAAATATGGAAAACATAAACCAACCTGAAAATTATAACTAAGACCAACTTCAAGAGATTGATCTGCCATTCTGTAGTTACCGTCTTTTAGATGAATCTGAAAAAAAAATTTCAAGTTTCGTGAGTTCTTCTTAGAATGAAAAATACAGCCATCTTGCTGAAACAGAAATATGCCCAGAACATATTATACCTGAGCCATTAGTAAATGTCCTTCAGAGAATCTGTCATGTTTTTCAAGACAGTGATTCAACATCGTCTTCGCTGTTTCTATATCACCTGAAATAAAAAACTTTCGCCGGTTCACTACAAGACATAACTGCATGGCAGCAATAAGGATAGCATTTGAAAACACACGCATGCTTGCCCCGTAAACTGTTTGTTTGCACAGCGGGGTCTGGATTACCAAAGAATGAAATGTTCAAAATCCAACTACTTCCTCCAACATGTAACGCAATTTTGGACACAGTGGAGTTGTTATATACAAAAAGGATCGTGTTTTAATTAATTCATCAATATTCGGCAAGAACGTAGGTCATGTTTACAAAATATCTGCATGTATACCTTTTTAAAAAAACAAAAAATCCCGAAATTGCGTTCAATCTACACTCTATACAATGGCTGTTCAAATGTGAGCAAATGGCAACCTTCTCTATTAAAAAACTGCCGTTCACACAAATTTACTTCCGAGATTTTCTCTGCGTCATTATAAATATACTGCATGTACACTTCTCAACCAATCATAATTCAGCAATTTTCCTCATCCAAATAAAAATATGTTTTGTTTTAATTACCTGATAGGTATCGTACTTTAGCCATCAAATACAGTCCTTGTAGGACACCAGGCGTGGCTTTAGTTAACGGATCAAGCACTGCAGCACAACGTTTTAACATTGGAGATACTGGTTGACCACTGCTTTGAGGCTATAAAGAAATGTACGTAATATATCTGTGGTACAAAGTAATCACCGACATTGTCAAGAACACCAGGTTGATTTTCACCAGAGGCGCCAAACTGTATAATTATATAAAAAAACTATGTATGCCCAGGTTAATTATCACGCGGCCACGGGGTAATCACAAAGTTTTAGTAAGTGGGGATGTGCTAATAATCCTTATTTGCAGCTGCGAGCTAAGCTGAATTGCGAAGGATGCAGCTCACCCCGATCACGTCGAAGGCTTTCTAAGGACGCCTCTTCAAGTAGCCACCTTATGACTCACGTCTGATCACGGAATACAGCTACGGTGGAAGGGTCTGTCAAGGCTTATCCCAACATAGGGGCTAATCCCAACCCACCCTGGCAAATTTTCCAAAGAATGAGTCACAATAAATAATAAGTTTCTAAATAACGTATCAATCACAAAACATGACAGTTCATTATAGCTTCGTGTAAGCCCTGGGTAAGTACCTGTACATGTAAGTATTACCAGGAAACGTCGCTCATTACAACGTTACAGGCACATGCATGCACCTCCAAGTCCATTAGGATTGAGCTTACTGCAAAGTGAACTGACTATATAGGCCCCTGTATACAATACAATACAATACAATACAATACAATACAATACAATACAATACAATACAATACAATACAATACAATACAATACAATACAATACAATACAATACAATACAGACAATACAATACAATACAATACAATACAATACAATACAATACAATACAATACAATACAATACAATACAATACAATACAATACAATACAATACAATACAACACAACGCAACGCAATGCAATGCAATAAATTTATTAGCACCACGAAGAAAGATTAAAGATCGTCTTCGCTGTATGGCAAATTCGCCATGATTCAATCATGCAGAGCATGTAATTTTCGTGATAAAGTTGCAGGAAAAAACACAAATATCTCTATACAGTATATAGACGATCAGAAAGGTTTAATAAATGGACTGATAACTGAATAATATATTTCCAAGAATCTTTTTTTTCAGAAAATCGACACTTGTATTTCAATCAGATTGTATTTACTATGGTGATCATGAATGCGCCATTCTAAACTTTACCTCATTCGGAGCGAATATCAGGTATTCTTCAATGACTTGTAATAAGAATTCAGGATTCAACTTCAAAAAGTACTCGAATCCCAGAGGAATACCCTAAACATAAAAATAGGTAAGTCTAGTTCTATCAGTTTTGACGTTTCTCAGAAGAGGTCCAGTAAAGGCCTCGCTTGTTGCTTCAGTGTTATTACAGGATGGAACCGGAGTACCCGGACACAACCTGGGGTAGAGTTGAAGTAGAAGCGCTCTTTTCACGTCCGTAAAGGTTAATCAAAACATGCTAACATCACATATAGAGTGAACCTGTAATTCTTTAAAATGACTGTCAGTTGATTCATTGAGTAAAACAATGACTTCTTCAAATCTTCTCTCTTTCTTTCGAGCTAAAACAGCACCCAGGTAGGACAACTCCTATTAATAGATTTAATAAAGAAATGTTTTTAATTCATTGTTGTATTATGTCGTGTGAAGCAAACACCAGAATAATTAGTTTTCAATTCATCAACATTGAAGGCTTTCCATTGCGAGATTGAACCGATTGATCGATGAGATCGCGCAATACAAACAAAACTGATGAAGAATGCTGGAGCTGATCTAGCCTAGGAGGAAAATTAAACCTTATCATGATTTCATTCTGCAAGTATTCAGGCTGTTCTTATATCGCCGCCCCAAAAACCCACATGCATGGCAGTGTTTTTATTTAATATGTAGCTATAACAGAAAGAAATATTCGGGTACTGTTCTTGAAATGGTACTAACTGCAGATTTTCCAATCGACTGTTGTATTTCACTCAAGAACTCTAATTGTTGTTCAGCATCATCAACCATATTCTCCAGAAGTTGGCAATTTATAATTCCTATAATATAAAACAAAACTGGTCAATTCATTGTTGGTAGATAACCGAATCGAAAATTATATATTACCATAACTATACACAAGGAAGCTGCAACCTGCATGCAGGCATTCATGTTCATATATTTCTGCGATATAATAAATAAACAAGGATAAGGACGTTAAAAACCTAAAAAGACTAACATCATTTTCCAGAAGAACAACTTCGGCGTTTCGAGCGAAAGGGGTTAGTAGCCTTACTAACTTCCAGATGAAAGGTGTTCGCTCGAAACGTCAAAGTTCAGTCTACTTCTCAGGAGGAGGGGGTAAGAAGAACACCCTTGATGCAGGAATCAGTGTTTCAGTGAAAATGCCAGCAAACTCCACAGTTGCTAAACCCCAGGTCTGAATGAATATCCAACGAACAACCAGTGAAACCCATAGCAACCCTTAAACAATTTATTCTGGCCTTGTCACTGATGATGTGTTTACGGCATTCCTTCAACCAAAGTGTTACGTAAACCCACAAATATTACACTATAAAGATTTCGTATAATACACTCTTACGTCACAATACCAGCTTCATGATACAAAGAATGAAAGTTACCAGTCAAGGCAGGAACACTCGTTTCATCTAATTTCATGGCGGTTCGATAGCTTTTCATGGCGTCGCGAACTTTCTTTTGCATTACCAGTTGATTACCAAGCTAGGAATAAATATAAATATTAGAGGAAGTAAGCATTACTATCGGATGGAATGTGGCTACCAAAGAAAGAAAAGAATCACATATTCAATTTTGAAATTAAAATTGAAAATAGCGAAAAAGCCTTGGTCATAGACGGAATGTCGTTTGTCGTATATATATTAACTTATTTCAACATTTCATGTGCCAAACCTAATGCACACGCATGACTTCAAACAAAGAAATTAGTTCATTAATATTAAATTCGGTAAATGAAAACTATAGTTCAGCGTCTAAAACATATACGCCTGACAAGTTTCAAAATCGAAAATTTGGACATCGATATCGATTCCCTAAAATAATTTCCACACCTCGGTCCAATCCTATAACAATCTAAATTTGGGGCTCTGGACAGTCTAGGTATACTACAATAAGATGTCGTAGTTTGTGTCTGAACTACGTGAAAAAGGTTAAAAACATTTCGACGTTCCGCGCAAATTAAGGCCTTTCATCGAGAAAGTATAATAGTCACCTGACATTCAGAAGTATACAGTGGCGAAGCTAGCCATGGCAACTGGTCATGCTATGCTAATAACCTGCAAACTTACTTCTACTGCATATTCAGCAGTTGACTCGCTGAGAGTTTGTGCTCTGACAATCAGTTCAAATGTTTGCTGAAGAACCAATGGATTGCGTCCACACTACAACAACAAAAGTACAAAACATCGCTATATGTTACCATGGATCATAAATTAAAAAACATTCATGATGTTATACTATGGGGAAAAGCAATGACTCGTCATTGTATGCAATTATATGTACAGTAATTATTGATAACTTCATTGTATGTTTGCATGGTAATAATATCATATTTAATTTGATTTGTTTTGTAACACCACCTTCATTTATTATTGCAAGCTTTCTTTCTATTCGTAAGACCGGATCTTTATCATTAACTGGCATACGGATCGAAAGCTTTGTATTAATAAATTGACCTAGTGTTTTCCACAAACCTACCCCACCCACACTTTCGGCAGATAACACAACCTCGATCTTGATAATTCTCGAATATTCGTTGTCATACTTCCCTACAATTGGTCCGCAATAAATTGAAACTACTGTACCTCGGAACCATTGATACAAACTTTCGTTTTTAACAAATCTTTCCTACAGTTGTTTGGTCAGGAATCCGAGTTACTGTATCTGATTTTTACCACAAAGACAATAGGTAATGCAGAGCCTTAACTGAGCAGAGGGTACTAATTTAACAACGCTTTTTGTCAGATACATTTACAGGCTTTCTGGAATCGTTGTGTAGAAAAGTAGGATAAAAGTAGGACTAGAATTTTAGGAAAAGTAGGAATAAAGTAGGAAAATGTGTAGAAAAGTAGGACAAAAGTAGGAGTTTTTGGAGATGCAGATAATACAAAAATATACAAAACTGGCCCCCTATTTTTTTGTACACATTCATCTATGCAGGACTTTTTCCTCAAAACTTTTAAAATTTGATATTAGTAAGGTATCTGCTCTGCAGCAACACAATTGAAATGCGTTATGTGTGCGAGTGCATGTATTTGGCTGCGCCATACACCTTAATCCACACTGTGCGGCAGGAGCATATGATGCTTGATCAACTGGGGGTGGGGTTGGATATTTAGAATTACTAGATTGTCGGAAATGGCATTTTCAGAGTCTGGAAATGCTATCTAATTTTATACTCAGAAAATGTACTTCTTCTCTTCCTGAGATCTTATCATCTGGGACACAAATAGGGAATAAAAATTACGAGTCCTATATAGATCTAATTACTAGAGTTATAGCTGTCCCAAGCTGTCTTAAAAAAGTAGGATTTTATGAGGAAAAAGTAGGAAAAATAGGAAAATCAAGCAATTTTTAATAAAAAATAGGAAAAGTAGGAAAGTTGAAGAAAAGTAGGAAAAAGTAGGAAAAGTAGGATGGCAAGAAAGCCTGCATTTAATGCACTTACCACTCGACTAAACAGCTTTCCAGCTTCATAATATAAGTAATGACTTTTAGGTTCATATCTATCATAACATTGAATTAATTCACCAATTTGTTCGGCTGCCTCGTCATATTTTCCATCACGACATAACAAAAACATTATCTTCATTTTGTGAACTTCCAGAGAATATCGATTCAGTTTTGAGCATCTGTAGAAAGCAATAAAAAGGAATGGATTTACTGGGCAGGGCTTTTAAAACAAGCCGGTGGGCATCGGAGTTCCGGCGGGTGTTACGAGATTTACCGCCGGTTACTTTCTGTGATATATAACAGGACTACATAAATCTGTAGTGCGGCGTTTGTAACTACGTATTAACTAAGGAACCGAAACAAGCCACAATTGAAATAAAACAGCAATGCAGTTTTTTTGCCTCAAACTTTATAGTCATTGTTGAATAAGTTCAGTTACATGATTGGTTAAGCAAAAGATTAACGTGAACAAAAATTATGACCAACTTGCAATTCCATCAAATATTATTTGATTTGTACAATGATTTCTTCATTACGGACAACCGCCTACTTTTTCAGCACAACTGCTTACTTAAAATGATTCTGATAGCCCAGATAGCATGGGGATGCCAATTTTATAATCAAATCCAATTCAGGGACGTGCCGACTCCCTTTTATCCAATAACGTTTAAGAAAAAAAGGGGCCCCCCAAAAATTAAGGGGTCCAAAACCTTTGAGTTTATCCCCCTCCCCAAAGACATATCGGTCGGCACTCGTCCCTGAATCCAATTATAGCTGTTTGGGGGCATTCAATGGCTTATCTGCACAGTATATAAAGAAGTACATCCTTTGTTCATGCGATCCTGGATAATATATACAAAATATACCTCTGAGCAACGTCCATTGTCTGTTCCCAGTCTTGCAAAGCGAGCTGAATTTTCATTTTTTCCACTAGTGCAGGCTCAAATTCAGGATATGACACGACCACCTTAAGAAGGCGAAATATTTTCACTCGATGCTATAAAACGGAGAGGGGGGGCATACAAAGCAACAGAAAGCCAGCTGCACTGGGAAAAAAAAGTGAAATCGATACTACGAAATATACAATTACTATGGATATTAACCAAAATCCATTCTATTTCCAATAAAGATCCATTCAATTTCCATACTATGACCTTCTATGGAATTTCAAATTTTTTTCCAGTGCTGTGGGGCATAAAAAGCACGAATGCACGTACTTTATATGTGATCCACGTCACTGACTACTAACGTCCCGACGATGGGTCTTCGCTCGAAATTAAACGTCGAATTTCTCCTTGTATTTTTCAGGTAGTTGCATCTCTACCAACCAAATTTTTGTTTATCTGTTATGTTCTGTACGGTACTTCAACGTTTGCCACTTACCTTATTGATAAACTCCAAGGCAGCTGTAAAATTGTTTTTCCTAACAAGATATGCCGCCTGGAAAAAGGTAATGTATTTAAAAGACGTCTCAAAATACTTTACCAGAGGTTGACAACTTTTTTGTCCCTGCTTTTTTGTGTAACTGGAACCGTAACAATAACTTGAAAATGTGGCTGCAAAATGTCTGTATGAAAAATGTTAAATCAAGACGGGCCATGAATTACTGTGTTGTTGGGTAACTCGATTTGGTTCGTTTGTGACTCATATTTTCTCCAACTAAAGTTTTGACTTTTCTTTTAACTTTTCATCAATGACTATAGAAACTTCAAATGATTGAAACCGGATATGTCCACACTCCAGACGTTCATGAAAAACGATGAATCGAAATCTAGTTGTATAGTCAATTAACAACGGTTAAATATTAATAGACCCCTAGTAGCAGATTGAGAATTTAAAGAAAAAGAAATTTTAAAATAAGAATTATAAAAAAGATATTAGTCAAATTCTATCATATCTTCTGTTTCCAAACGTTCTGGAAAATGTGCACGCAAGGAACTTGTTTTGTTTCTAATATGTACTGTATAGCTGCGACCGTCGGGCCCAGCGGTCACACCCCTGTACGTGATTGACCCTGCTTTCTTGGATAAGAAGACAAGCCTAATAGTATACAGTTGGAGCATCAAATAATGCGAGATACTGTACGTATAAGGATATATTTCAATATTCTATACCTTTCCCAAAAGCGCATCAATATTCTGAGAAGTATCAGACCTAAAATTAAAAATTCTAATTTAATATGCATTTAATCTAGAATGCTGGGTTCAACAAATTATGGACATAACTGTTTTGTTTTCAACTCAAACGCCAATGTTTGCAATGCATGGTTTGGGGGATATAGCAATTGAAAAACTTTTCGACTTTATATGCTTCCTATACATTATTACATAATATTAGTCTAATATTTTTACCACAATATTTACCATTAGAGAAATTCTGATAGTCCTCATTCGTAACTTATTTTTATCCTAACGCACCCTGTCAACTTTCCCTGTGCGAGAAAACCACAGTACCCAAAGAACTATCTAACTTTTAGCAGTACGCAGCGAGAACCCACAACCTCTGTGACGAAGGTGCGTGTTCGATCCCCAGTGGCTTGCTCTGACAACTGAACCATGAACCTTGATGACCGAATGAACAAGAAGATAATACACTGTAACCTACCCCTGTAAAGCATCATCGAAAAATTTTGCAGATTTCTTGAGAGCAGAGTCTCGCCCACTTGTAAGATCAATCCAACCACGAAGAACTGCGCCCTATATATGTTTGAAAACTTTTCAGCGCATTTTACAAAACAGTGAAGTAGTACCTGTAAATATTATAGCCTGTGAGAAAAATTATTGCAATTGTTTCTTGCTTTCACAGCTACAATACTGTACATGTCATGCAACAGATATATTGGGTTGAAAATTGCCGGCAGTGAGATATGCATAATATATTACTAATTTCCTGGTGCAATTGTATTTGCAAGAGATGCAAGATGCATCGAGATGCAAGAGAATTAGGATGAAATTAGATTTTCAGAACTCTCTCAAGAAAACTAGGTTTTCAGAACTTACTCTCTCAAGAAACCTAGGATGAAACTAGCTTTTCAAAACTCCCTCTTCTCTCGTCTTTCTCCTGAGGGAGAAAGGCTTTCTCATAATTTTCCTCTACAGGAAAGAGCGTGACTACTTGTAGGCTACAGTTCCCATAACAAACCTCTTTTGAGCCGTTAGACATTTTCAACATCCTATCCACATATTCTCTTGCTTTATCATGACGTCCAGTGTGCCATAAAAACATTGCAGCAAAGTAGAGAGCATTTTCACCACAACTTGTACGAGTTTGTTTTAATCTCGCTTCGAGTTCCTGTACACTTTCTTTGTCTATCATCTTCGCCTTTTTATGCGCATAGATTAACGCCATTAAACAACATAGGACCACTTCTTGTCTTTCTTGGATAGATTCAAATTCACGAATGGCTTCTGACACACGGTCTGAAAATCGAATGATATTTATTCTCTGGGCTATACAGTAAAAAATTCGGCATCCCAATTACGTTTAGCTAGCAATTTCCCAGTATAAAAATATAAGATCCGTGTTGCGAGGATGCCTTCTGCACGGCCAAAACTATACAGTATTTCCCCGTTACCTGTTTCGAAATTTATCTCGGCAAATGCGTAGTTCGAGAAGAAAATGCCCACTGCATGGTCGCTGAGGACAACGACTTTTTTGTTGTAATGTAATTTGTAAACGTTTATGGAACTGGTATTATTAGTAGCTAGTTAGGAATTTTGAGAAATTTCTTTATACAATTTATTTCCTTTCAAATATAATTGTAGAATTGATTTGAAAAACAATCTAAAATTGACAAATAAATCAACTTCTTTCTCATTACGAGGGCTGCATGCATTGCAGAAACATAGAATGACGAAAATCAGAAATTTAATTCATAATCTAAAGTAATCTAACTCCAAATTTAGAAAGTGAAAACACAGCAAACTCCAATGTTTTTAGCCATGTGCGTGGGTTGATGGTGACAAGGAATTAAGGAATGTAGTTCAGGAAATTAAGGCAAGGGCTCCCAGTACCAGACCTGCAATTTTAAAAGGCGTGATCGCTCTCGCGCGCTTCGACTCCCCTTAAGCCCGTTCTCCACTAGGCGAATTTGTTCGCGCGACGCGAAGCGAAAAACAAATCTTGGCAATGTGATTGGTCAGCGAAAAAATTCGCCGCGAAAAAGTAGGATCAGTTCCTACTTTTTTACTGTTCGCGCGAACAAATTCGCCTAGTGGAGAACGGGCTTTATTTTGTTCCAAAGAGAGAATGCGTCTTCGCCAGTTCAGTTGAAAACTTTACAACAAAACGTTTCCAATCGATCAGGGTTCGGATGGATGCTGACAAACCGACAATCTCTTTTGTCACAGGCATTTATTATAAGCACAAGTAATTCGAAGAACGTCGTTCCGCAATAGTTTTCAGTATCGACTCTATCTGTTACTCCCCAATCACTCTTCTTAGTAAAATTAGGAGAGCAATTTACCATTCTCCTGCTTTCCACAAAATTCAAGGTCTGCAGTACACAAGCACTATGCATGCTAAATATTATACCCCTAGTCAATCGTGTAAATAAATTCCCTTAACGCTTTTCTATTTTCATAAAATGTTATACAATATAATTCTTTGTGCAAATGTTGTAAAAATGGTCACTTTCTTCAAAGCGAATCTCTAACTGTAGAAAAGTTAAACTAAAAATAACGTAAGGTTATATTCACTCCAATACCCACAATGCATATGACATAAAAATGTACTAGATTTCAGGTAGTTGCATCTCTACCAACAAAAGCTTGTTATTATTGGCACTACCTACACTGGCACAGATAGTTCAATACTTAAATAACAGCTCGTTCACTCAGCAATGTGTATAAGGCCAAAAAAAAAATATGTGGGTTTCCGGTTTCTTCTTATAAAAACTTAGGTAGGGTAGGTCGGTTTTAACTTTTTTTTTTAAACTTTTTTTTTTAATTTTCCGAACAAGCGGACACCATTTTGTTTAGTCAGTGCTTCCACATCCAAAGATAAATTTCCCTAATATTTCCTCAAATTTCAATTTTCCACAAACTTTTTCCTCTAAGTGGAAACATTTACAAGCATGATCCAATAAAAAAGTTTAGGGTCGGGATTTCGACGTCCAAAAGCTAGGTAGGGTCGGGAAACCGGAAACCCACATATTTTTTTTTTTGGCCTAATAAAACTCTTGCTTGCAAAATTATTAAAAATGAAACATATAACTTGATAGTTTTCACACTCCATTTTGGAAGGGGAATTTCTTCTCTTACAGTGAATTTTTTTTTAGGGGGGGAGGGCAATGCCACATTTATCTACAAATAGTCAATCTAAGAAAGGCTAAAAACAGCGCAATTTGAGTATAAACCGACCGTGCTTTCGCTGGAAAATCAGGACTGTGGAGCCTGAAATAGCTGAAATAGCTTCCAACATTTTTCTGGAAAAAAAATGTCGAACTAAAATTAAAGTTTTCAAACATGAACGGACATTTTTGTCAATTTAATCTCGACAACCAGTGTTTGTCAATGATAATAATTTATACCAAACACAACACAGTGAAGTTAAAATGCTTTGAAATTTAACTATTGTGCATTCTTTGCAGCGTGATAGGACACAGCTTACAGTATAGTCAATCCATTCTTTCAAGAAAACTGATTGCTAAATTTTTGTCCTGATAAAATGTCCAACCAATTTAGCATTTGGTCAGACAAACTGTACTTTGGTCAGAAAATTTTTAATCTCTGACAATCACTTCAGGCTCTGGCTTTGCCCACCACAAGAAAAAGCAAATTTCTGACTAATTGTCTGTCTGACCTAACTGTGGTCAGACTGACTGGCCAATCAACCAACTGACAGAATACAGGTTTATTGTCTGAATGAATTGGGAGTGCACATTTTTTAAGCATGGGGTTGTATACCAGCTACTAATTAAACTGAAAGCTAGTGCATACTGTAATTGGCCTGATTTATATTGTGTTTTATTTGTCTTGACAGATATGTTCATATTAATACTTTATTACTGTAGATGCACTATCAGTAATAAGAGGTTCAGATGTGACTTCCACTACCATTACTGCTACCTAGCTTGATATGCATTTGATTGGTTAATTGCAGGGCTCGAATTTTATCGCGGCAATTGCCGTAGAGGGAGAACAAAATGCCGTGAATGATTGCGGCAACGAGGGCAATTTTTTGCTGTGTAGTGCAATTTTTATACTATTCACTGTGCATTACTACTTTGATACTTGAATTCAGATGTTGATCAAATCATGCATAAATCACTATTTTAGTCTCAGTTTTCTTCGAAAAAAAACACTAAAGAAATACGTAGACACGTTTCTAGCTTGTCAAAAATCCAAAGTAACAATAAAATTAAAGTTTTATTACAGTAATTTGAAAAATGCCATGGAAACTGCCAAAATTGCCTTAGACAGCTGTTACGTTCTACGGCAATTTTTAACGCCATTGCCGTCGATTGATTTCAGG